CTCACTTATTCAGTATCAGGACGTGTGTTTCCCAGGACCTGTAACAGTCAATGAAAGAGTATCACATATTACTATATACTATTATATACTATTATCACTCTTTCAGAGAAAGGCCTTTATTAACCATCATCATCCACTGCCACAAGGAATGGGACACACCCAAAATGTGTCAGTATCGTTCAGTTCATTAAAGTTGGAGTTTTTGTGGGACGGCCGAGCTTCAGTCAGACTCTGTCGAGAGAGAGGGAGAGAGAGTTCGTTTACCAAACAGTTGCAGTCTAGAATAGAAGACATTTGAGGTGGCGTTTGGCAGTGCAGCTTTTGCATCAGTAGCTTGGCACGGACATTTTCTCAACGGCCACCCTGTTCGCAGCTGATGTGAGCACCGAAGCGGATGGATCAAACATCAGAGGCTCCGGTTTCGTCACTCACCCGGACCGACCTCGACGCGACGCGACGCGGGCGCCACCGACGTCGGTTACGGGGGCGCCGCGCGGCGCCGCGCCGAGGATGTGGATCGACCGCACGGAATGGAACACCGTGACGTGCAATGCTGCGCTGAGCAGCTGCGAAAAGGCCCACGGCCGGTTGGTTCGAACGGCCACGGCCACGGCCACGGTCGGTGGGTTCGAACGGTCCGATGGTGGCAGTTACGGACGGTTGACTGCTGCGTGAGAAACTCGCCAGGCAGGTGAGCGAAAGATGGCACTCTTCTTGCTGCAGTCAATGACAAGGCGGCGTATAGCTATGTTGTTCGCAGTCGTTTTGAGTTCCACTTACTTTTACCTATATATATATAGATACCTTAGCATTTCCTGTTTTTTTCTGCTGTCTAACATTGCCAAGATGCCAAGGATGAAGTGATTTTCATGATCCAGGCATGCAGCCAGCCAGTCTGAAGCGTTTGGGCCAGGCAGTCAGTGCAAGCAGATGAGATCACTTACAATGCTGCCATCAGCGCCTGTGAGAGAACCGATCGATGGGACCTGGCGTTCCTAGGCCAGATGGCGTTCCGGTTGGCACAGATGGGGGGTCGACTAAAGCATCGGGATAACTGGCGCCATCTACACTTGAAACCACGGTAGAATGGCATTTTTTATCACTCCCTGAAAGAGATCATGGAAGTGGATGGCATGGCCATGCATGACCCCTTGGATTTCTTGGGATGATAACTTTAATTTTCCGAATGCCAAACAGCTGGTGAACTTCCATGTGACTCGGGGTGTGGAATCCATGCCTGGCCTGTCCAATTGTTGCAACGTTTGTTGAGGCTTCATCTGCTGGCGGAGATGCAATCAAATTCGCTGCCTCCCAGTGATACTAGCTTGACTGCTGCGATCAGTGCCTGTAAAACTCCTGGAGAATGGGAGCGCGCTTTACGACTCATGGCTGGGTTCCTTCGCAGGGATAGATTGATGGTACAAGTTCCATTGCCTCACAGTCTGTTTCACAGCTCTAGAATTGCATCATCGTACACAGCTCAGAGTGTGTGTGTGTGCTCATCCATGTATGACCTGATCCCTGCATATTATGTATGACCTGATTCCTGAGGCTAGGCATGCAGCAAGCACCTTCTACCATCAGCACGGCACTTAAGGATTAGTACTTAGTGGCTGTGAGGCCACTAAAAAAAGAAGCTCATGGCCCATCAGAATTCGTTTTCGATTTCGAATCCGAGGTACGAATGCGCTCCTGTTCTGCCTTGCTCACGCATCTCAGTGGGAACTGAGCTTTTCCACGATCCTTTCGTACCAAGCGCAAAGAGACCACCTGTCGTACCAAGCTTTGATCGCAGCTTGCCGATTCTCGGCAAAACTTCAACGCTGACCGTCACGCCCTGCAAGTTTTTGACATGCTTACCTTCACGCCGAGCGAAACGCAGCGCCGAGCGTCGAATGCAAGGTGCTGCTATGAAATGGCAATATGGGCTTGCGCTTTGTGAAAGCATGCCGCAGGTTGCACAGGAGCGGGGGGAGTCTGTAGTACTAGGCTCAAGTGTGTCCGCCAAATGTCTATGCAAGAATATTCAAGCACAGGTCATGCTTTTTGTTGTGGCAATTCATGGCAATTCTGTGGAGGAAGAATGTCCAAGTAGACACGCTTCCCAGGGATTCTGTTCGTATGTTTTGTCTCAAGGCTGGTTGCCTTGCGTGCTTGGGGCTTCTTTCCACATCACTTGTGGCGTTCTGATGAGTTCTGCACATCTCTGAGCATTTTCCAATCCTTTCCCTGCATCTCACGTGTGACTTGCCACTGGCCCCTAGGACTTGAGTGTGTGCAGAGCATCGCCTGAGCGGTCCCTCAGAGACGACTGGCAGCATTTGGCCTTCGGCACAGTGGTGCGAAGAGACCAGATGATACCATCTTCAAGATACTTCGGGCACCCGGATCCTTGCAGAAGAAACATCAGCGGAGCATGGAAAGAGCATCGGAAGCATTCAGTCAACCTGTGACTTTAGTCATGACCCATATGACCGTATGCATGTAATTACTAGGTGTGCAAGCGGGGTCCATTCCCTCTTTGGTCGACGCGGGGTTGAATGTGCAATAGGATGCAAAAGGGCCACGTTGGTTACCTCTCAGTTCTATTCTAGATTTGGTTTGAAGTAACTATACTGTATTTGAGTCTGGTTTCTCGCAGCCATTCTGCCTCCTAGCTGAAGACGCCATCATGACAGCGGATGGTGAACATGGATCTTCGCGGAGTTCGTTGAATATGCAAGCAGCTGATGAATCTCCAGCGAGGTCATGTATGGAGAGGTGGCTTTCCCCTTTGACAGAGAATGGCTTTCGGAGTGGAATGCTGACTTTGACGACCACAGCTCTTGGTGGTGGCGTCCTGTCGGTGGCTTTCGTGATGAACATTTGCGGCATCGCTTTGGGCTGCATGATCTTGGCCTTGGGTGCTTTGTTGGCATATCTTGGAATGGCTGCGCTGATGGAGATGAGCACAAAGACAGGCTGTAGCTCCTATGCGGCACTCTTCTCACACTGTGCTGGGCACCTGGCTGGTCCGATACTTGATGCGTTTCTTTTCGTGTATGGGAATGGTGCATGTGTTGGCTACATGGTCTTTATCGGTGACTTCGTACCACCCGTCCTGGCCTTGATGTTCCCCGGAGAGACGTGGGCACAAGACACGACAGGCCTGAGCCGCACATGTTGCATTGCAATTGCTGCTGTGCTATTGGTGCCAATGATGCTTCCATACGACTTGTCAAGGCTTAAGTTTCTTCAGCCGGTGTCAATCATGGCACTGGTGTACATGGCCATTGTGGTAGCAGTGAAATGCCCACACAGCTTCAGTGTAAATGTGGGCAAACATGGCTATGAGTCCATCCGCTGGTTCACCCTGAGCCCTCATTTCTTCGAGGCCTTTGCTTTATGTGTCTTCGCCTTCAATTGCCACTTGAATGTGGTGCCCATTGCGGATCAGTTGGTGCGACCAACGGTGGAGCGAACCAAGAAGATCTCGATCAGAGTGAATCTTTTCCAGTGGCTTTTCTATAGCTTGATTGGAGTCACAGGCTACTTGTCCTTCTTGGATGACACCTCGTCTGATATCCTCACAAACTACAGTCCGCACGACTACTTTGTGGCGGCTGGACGCTGCTTCCTCACTTTGACAATGATGGTGGCCATCCCCGCGAATCTGAACCCCACAGTCAGATCAGGAGTGCAACTGAAGGACTTCTTTTGCAAGCGAGATAGGCCACTACTTGGCAATCAAAGTCCTACCAGTGATACGGTTGTGGATCAACCAACCTTTCGAATCACCGTTTCAATCATTGGCTTGGCATGTCAAGCTGCACTCGCGGTGGTTGTGCCACAAGTGGGGACGGTATTGAGCTTGCTCGGAGCTACAGTGGCTACAGCTATGATGCTGATCATACCTGCCTACTGTATGGGTGTGGTCCTGGAGAAAACCATAAGACGCCAAATCAAGCAGGCGTTGCTTTGCATTTGTGCGCTGGTCAGCTTTGCTTCTGTCCCCTTCACAGTGCTTGAAGCGGCGGGTGTCATTTCGAAGCCTCCCTGAGCTAGCTTCTCTTGCAGACTCGATTTGAGTTTGGCCGCCTCCAGCGACCCTGGCCGGCCATGGCCTCTGTATTTTGCGCATGCAGTCTCCATAGGAGACCCCGGAGTTAAATTGCTTGGATGTAGCACTCAGTGTGCTAGACTTGTGTTGCACTCAGTGTTTCCAAAAAACAACCAGATTAGGACTGCATTGTGAAGCTTCGACTGAGTCATTGCTTCTGTAGACAGTCAGATGGTTGAAGCAAGCCGTGAGCACCATTGCCTGTCACTGAAGTCAAGCAGAGGTTCTTTTGACTTAGCATATAGATGGGTTCAACTCCTTGAAGGATATTGACATTGACAGTTACATATATTATAGTATATTATGCTGTACTACATGTCCACATATACATATAAATATATACGCAGTAATATATATATATATATATTATACATACATAGACAGTATGACAGTATATGCACAGAATCATTCACGCAGATCATTCACATTGCTAAGCTCTGTCAAAGCCATGGAGCCCCCTTGACGGAGCCCCCTTGACAGAGGCCACTCAGCACGGAGCGCCCACGGGGTTTTTGATCCTTCCGAGCCTTAATGGAATTTATCAGCGGTTTGCAGTTTCTGCGTGACCCAACATGAAAGAAACACTACTCCAGGATGCTAGCAGAGGATGCAGAAGGGGACTTGGTGCACCTGTACTTGCATAAACATGAATATCTCGCATCCCCTTTGTGCGCGTCTGTTCCGCAGCCCTGGGCTGTTTAGGTCAAACGGAAATTTAATTAGACGGGCCGGTCCCTACTTGAAGGCCATGGAGGGCGCGCAGGACACAACGTTGCTGGAACGCGAGGAGGGGCACCGAAAAATAAACGGACACTTGTTCTCGCATTGAGTTGACTGACTGTGACTTCAAAAGTGCTAAAGGCACCATCCAGCTGATTCAGCATTGCAGGACACATCCTATATGGGATGGATACATGCGGGCATCACAATCTTTTGCTTTGCCGCGCCGTCCGCAGTAATGGCAATGCCCTTTGCGATAGGCAATGCTGGATTCCTGGGAGGAATGATTCTGTGCCTGATCGTCACAGGCGCGTGCAGCCATCCAAGAGTGGGAAGAAAATGAGGAATTGGGAGCATTTGAAATGCTGTGTGGAGTGAACAAAACCCTGGAGGTGCTTCAATCCTGGGTGCCAAGCTCCTGCTTCGCTTGAAATTGCTGTATCCTGATTGTAAGACCTTCGGAGATATTGGTTTCCAAGTGCTGGGGACTCCTGGTAAAATCTGGGGCAACCTTATCCAGCTAGGGAATTTCTGCTTATTCATGCCATGTGCCCTTCGCTTCTGCGGTCTCGCCTTGAAGGGCATTGGCAACTTCCCTGGCTTCGATGAGTGTGTGGACTATTATGTCTTTGTCGTGGCTTTCGTTTGCCTTGTCACGACACAAGTACGTAGCTTCAAGAATGCTCAATGCTTCACAGTTTTATCCCTCGCCTGCGTGATTGGCATGGTGCTTTCCATGGTCTATGCCTCCTTCCGCTATGAGAACCCACACAAGATTCCGGCCATGTGGTTTGGCAATCCGGAGCCAGAAGAGGGCTTGAGACTCATAAGGTTGGCAGGTGGTTGCAGCATTGCCGCTTGGGCGTTCATCCCCGGATTCTTGACGGTAGAGCTGAGTTCCTGCTTAGCAGAGCCGTCGGAGTTCAACAAGTCCCTGTTGCTGGCAGGGGCATTGAATGTGTTAGGGCCCCTTGGAAGCAGCAGAGGTCACCAAAAGCACAAACACACGAAACACACAAGGCTTGCCGCAAAAGCTTTGCAACGCGTGCGAGTGTGTGGACGTTCCTTGTTTCCAAGGCCTTCCCCTTTAAAGGTTGAATGAGGGTCTCAAAGGAGCTTGCTTGTGCCCCGCTTAAATCTCGAGAGGAATCTCGTTGATGTTTGAGAATGTTCGCTCATGAAATGTCAGTCTGACTTGACAGGTTCTGCGCTGGGTGCGTGGTCATTGCCCGATGGGGCTACAAAGTGGGAGAAGTGATTGCAGTCACACCTGTCATGGCATGGACACCGGGGCTTGCGGTCAACTCAGCGCTTTAGCTGCACCAGAGAATGACTCAGCGCTTCCTGCTTCAATTTGCATTCTTTCCCATCACCGGGTGCGAGGTGTTTTTTAGCTCCTCCTCCTCCTCCTCCCGCCGCCTCCCGCCTACCTTCCATTCCACAACCAACTTCCATTTCCACATATATACTTCCACAACAATTCAATCACTCACCTGACGGGCTCACCCTGCTAGAGGGTCTCTCTCTCTCTCTCTCTCTTCTCTCTTTTCTCTCTTCTCTCTCCTCTCTTTGCATGGATCACTCAAGGAAAGTTGAGCTGCTGCTGGCACGGGTGCAAACAAGATGGTGATGACAATGAAGTATGCACCTCAAGCACTCACCTCACCCACACCGAACAACTCGCTCAACCCACTCGAACAAAAACTTCAGCCCTTCACTCATTGTTGAAGTCACTAACCTGACATACACCTCTGTCATTCAAGCGTTAAGGATTATATAACACAGCTTTCACCCATTTTCACCAACTTGTGCAAGCTGAACTTGTGGTCACTCCTTCAATTCTAAGTTGGAAAGGGTTGTCAGACTGAAATTTACTTCAAACCTGGAAAAGCTCAGGTCTTCAACGCTTGCCAGCTTGGCGGGAATTTTGTGTCATATATGTTGGACTCTGTTCCTCTCGGCCGATTTTGTCAGCGCGCTTGGGCTCCAGATTTCAAAGACACCTGGTCAGCGGGAGACATTGGCCGTTACCTCACCTACACTCTCCCGGTTTCTTGCTGATCGAAACGAGACAAGAGACTCACGAGCGGCTGCAAGAACAACTAGGATACACAAAGCTGCATGATTTGCATGCCTCATTATGCAATGTATGGGACACACTAGTTGGAACCGGCATGCGGGAGCATTTCATAGCATTTCACCATATTTTGCCATATGGCGCAGCTTTTGCTGTTCAGGTTTTCGCATTTGCTTTGACTTTGAGCGTGTTCACTCCAAGCATCAATGTCCTTCTGGATTTTACCACAGCTTTGACGACGCCATGGGTCAGCCATGTTTACCCTGCAGTGATCTACTGGAGGTTGAAGACGAGAGGTGGAATAAACGTCCCGCCCCAACCCATGACGATCAAGGAGAAGCTGATCGTATCCTATGCGGCTTGGCAGGGAGCAAGCTTATAGTTAGTTGAACTTGATGGATGTATGCTTCATGTTTACGAATATATCACGCGTTTCCTGGCATTGTTAAAGATAACTTAAAAATCCTGGAGAATGGCAGGATGGCATGACCCAGCCAGCTGCCGATCTCTTGTGGAATCCTTGTGTTTTGTGTGGGCGAGCAGGTCATGTTTTCAGCTCGTCTCAGGTGTTTCTGGTTGGATGCCTGGCAGTCTTTGCATGCTTTGTTAAAGCAATTGGCTTCCTGGTCTTTGAAGAGCTGCGACCCAAGTTCCAGGCGATCGCGGAGGAATTGGGGGGTTTGGAGGGAAGCCCGTCAAACGTTGAATCCCTTTCACATCGGAGCCACATCGGAGTGACATGCATGGCGATACTAAGAGCTGATAGTACCAACCATGTACCTCCAGCCAACCTGATCCGCAAGGTTGGCTGCGACGGCTGGCTGCTTTGGAAGCCGTAACGACATTGGACGAGCTTGGAGAGTCACAAGCATGTCATGCATGAATTTCGGGATTTTGGGCCCACCTGGAACTGCATCATCACTCCAGGTCCCAGGGTTCCTTCGAACTCTGATGTGTGGGCCCCACAAGCCACATTGCGTCCGAATGGCTTAGCAGATGTACTTGGCATTCACTGAGAAGTGCGGACGTAGATTTCGTCAAAGTTGGACGTACCTTTCGATCAAACCGGACCTTGAGCTGGAAAAAGGCGTCCTTTCTGAAGGGTGGAATGATCTTGGAGCTCAGACATTTTGGCGGAGCTGTGCAACATGTCTTCAGAGCTGTGCGGATGTAAGTCCCACGAAAGAGTCGCCATGTTCACCAGAAAGAGTTCTGAAAAAACCAGCCCCACCCATGAAAGAATCTTCGCCCCTTCCGACCAGGCTCTCGGTGCAGCCGTGACTCCTTCACATGACACGCGAAAACGAGAGGACGAAAGGGGTAAGTTGTGATGTGTCATGTGTCATGGGAAGTTGTCGGTGTTGAACTATTCAAGCTGAAATCTATATTCTACAACAGCACTAGAAATAGAAGTTGTCAAATAGCATATATCAAAGAAGTCAAGAGTCAAGAGTTTCTGGCTTGGAGGGTGCCATTTTTGATCAAGGAGGCCACCTTTTGATTTCAACTTTGTTTCAAATTTCCAATTTTGCCATGCGGGCCGCGCGGGCCTCACCTTTGCTAACGCTACTGGTGCTAAGCTTCCTATCAGTAAGCTTTGTAGTTCCCCGACTTCCTCCTCGACCGATCTCATCCCAATTGTCCGGCTTCCGGGATCTTAGCCGAAGGGCGCGGGGAGGTGAGGAAAGTGGCAGCCTAGCGGTGGGGGACACAGTGAGTGCCTTGTGTCCTGACGATGATCAGTGGTACCCGGGCGCCATCGACAAGATCAATGATGACGGCACCTTCAGTGTAAAGTGGGATGACCCAGACGGAGGGCCTGAAACCCACGATGTTGGCGCTGATGGAATCAAGAAAATTGTGATCTTCAAGGACTACAAGGTTGGCGAAAGGGTGGAGGCAGTCTTTCCAGATGATGGCTACTGGTACCCAGGTGAGGTGACAAAAGTGGGCGATGGTACCTTCACTGTGAAATGGGACGACCCAGATGGCGGCCCGGAAGAATCAGAGCTCGAAGCCAAGGACGTTAAATACCCTCCCATCCCCTACGGCAAACTCGAAGTTGGCCAGAAGTATACAGGCAAGGTTAGGATGTTAACAGACAATGACTTATTACTAGCATTTACTGTACTATAGCTGCTAGCTTGCTCAGGATGACAGATTTTATTTTCATGGACCTTGTGCATGTGGCCTCATGCAATCAAAAACGCAGCCACACCCCAGCAGGCACCGTTGCCTCCGTTTTGGACTTTGGAGCTTTCGTTGACATTGGCGCCGAAGGCCAGGGCCTGCTGCACATCTCGCGCATCTCTCAGGAGCGAGTGGAGAACATCTACGACGTTCTGTCCGAAGGGCAGCAGGTTGGGGATATGCATATTTCATCATGTTTCACTGTTCGAGATTGTTCGAGCATAATCCGGTCCACCTATTAAAAAACACGGCCCCCACCCACACCCCCCTAACAAGGAATCCTCGGTCGCATTTTTTCTAATAGGGGGTCCCTGAAATCCGGGGGTCCAAAATAGGGTCACCTGGAAAGAGTTTCAAAACCAAAAAGTAATCCAGGAAAATTTTATATAAAATCATTTATTAAACTCGTATCAAAAATGCAAAAAACCTCCAGATCGAAGGGTCTTCCTTTTCCCCTACAAAAACCTTCATTAGAATAGTGATTCTTCAGTAGACTAACAGCTAAAGCTTTCGAAAGGCGATGTCGCTGTGCCATGCGGTGTTGCATGACCTCGGTGGCAAGTGCGTTTGCGTGAGTCCGTGCCATTGGGGGAAGGAAAGCCTGCTGGTGCAAGCGCGGTTACGTTGTTGGGCAGTTACGGTTGTTTTTGGAATCTAATTTTTAAAAAACACATATAGATCGTATTAGTAGCGGCAATTTAAAAACACATATAAATCGTATTTAGGGGGGCCCGACATGACGTTCTTTTAATAGGGGTCCGTTTTTTCATAGGTACTCGGGATTACTAAATTCAGTACTTTGTCAGGCTTGGGTGTGCATGTGTCATAACGTAAAGAATGCTAATTGCAAATCTCCTGGCCTCAATAGGAGACATGACATGAGAGACTGCTTTCTTCGTTTGGGAACCACAGGTGGACGTGTGGATTTCCGGCAAGAGGGAAGATGAGGGCAAGTTTGGCCTTACTATGGTGGAAGGCCTGACAGATGGACCAAGAAGAAAGATTGATGATTTGACACCTTTCGCAGACCTGTCGTCCGATGAGTGGTACAAGGGCGTGGTTGCCCGGACTGCTCCTTTTGGTGCTTTTGTGACGGTGACGTTGGACGATGGTGCTTCCGCGGACGGCTTGGTTCACGTGTCCAAGATCAAGGATGGTTTTGTGGACAACGTGGATGATGAGGTGTCCGTTGGTCAAGAAGTGAAAGTGAGGATTGAATCAGTCGATTTAGATTCTAACAGAATGAGCCTCTCAATGCGGGAGGGTGGCTTCGGCGCGCCCAGAGCGCCGGCCGATCTTAGTGCATTTGAAAATGTTGAACCTGACACTTGGCTGAAGGGGAAGGTGGCTCGGATCGCTCCTTTCGGTGCCTTTGTCACTGTTACTGCGCCAGATGGGTCCTCTGCAGATGGTTTAGTTCACATCACTCAAATTAGAGATGGCTTCGTCGAATCCGTTGAGGATGAGCTTTCTGCTGGTCAAGAGGTGGAGGTTCGTGTGGAGTCTGTGGATGCTGACGCTGGCAAGATGGGTTTGTCCATGAAGAGCCCCTAAGCGTGGCAGTTGTAATGTAGGTGATGACGGCGTAGCGTATCGGCGCGATTGGATGAACATGACACCATCTCACCTGCCAGCCGAGGGGCACGTGCCACTGGTGAGGCAGGGAAGAAAAGGCGCTCCACCGGAATTCAAGATGACCTGGTTGCATGAGTGTGAGGCCTGTTTGCAGGTAAGGCTTGTGTGACTGGTACCGATCGCTGATGTAACCCGTGAGGAGCGTCGGCGTGGCACCGAGGAGGCCGCGTCAGATGAGGCGCAAGAGCAACTGAGAAGCCCAACGCCCAAAACTGCCGCAGAGCGCGTGCGTTTGGCTGCAGGGCTCGTGTGAATTCGCTGAGTTTTGCTACTTGGAAACATGCCTGGCAATGATTCCTTTGGAACAACCATGGCCTGAGAGTCTGAACCCGGACTCAATCCATGACCCGGACTCACTTGATTCCACCCCTTGATTTTTGCTAGATCCTTCAGGTGATGATGCAGGTTTTGCATGGTGATGGCAGGCGTGCGGCCTTGCCAGACACTTCCCCCCCCCCGCAGCCTTCGTGGCGACGTACTTTTCTCCGTGATTGGCCCAAGCTGACTGAGCGGGCCAGTGAGACGTGAGCGAGAGCACAGCTGATGCAAAGGTGGTATGCCAATAGATCAGCTGTTGCTGCAGCTACACTAAACTGAAGTCTTGGACTCAGCTACCCCTCACGACTAGTAACAGGCTGAGACAAGTACGTGCAAAAGGAGTAGCAAGAATACGGCAATACGGCCAAAGGTGTTGGGTTGGACGTCACGACCCCACAAGAATGCATTCTTTTCACAAGGAATGGCTTTTGACTCTGGAATTCCCACGCAGCGCTTTACTTGGGAGTGCAGTAGGGGCCAACCAACTCACCCGAGCAATGCCGATCGCGGAAGCGACCGTGTCCCCGAGCTGCTCACGCAAAAGGCCTTTGTTGGACCATGACCAGAACAGGCCCTGAGTGAGCAAACGTGATGGTCATGGTCTGTCGGCCTCGTTGAAACGCGGCTGTGGAGCATGCGTGATTTCTTTTTGACGGAAAACCACTCTGGAACGTTTGGAAGGGGGAATTGATCCATCAACGCTAGAATCCCGTGATTAAATGATCATATATGATCATATAAATGATCATGGTACATTTATCAATCATTACGTGATCATTTATATGATTACATGTAATTGCAGGGTACAATGCACACGTGCTGGAAATGAGACATAGGCCCAACGACCGTCACCGACCAGAGACGCATGGGTATGGGCCCATTCATGTAACATGGCACAAAGGTCCGCGTTGCCAGGCACCTTTTTTCCACCTGTCCGCAAGTTTCATGATTTGTACACAGAAATATGTTCATAATCTATACTGAGTTGGCTCATGTTGGCTCCCATTGACTATAGCTTTTGAGGTGGAAAAGCTGCAGCAGCACCTTCCAACGTGTTCTTGGCCTTGCCATCAAAGGGCTTCTTCTCACCGCGCAGCGGGTCTTCGACGTGCTTGCCGTTTTGATCCATATCCTGCAGCTCGGCATGAAAGAGGGCGGGCCTGGCACAGTGGTAAGAATGTTAGCACTCGACCAATGCTTACAGACGCGTTAGCTTTGCAATGTGAGCACTCGACCAATGCTTACAGACGCGTTGGCTTTGCAACAGCGGCTCCCGCCGCGCAGGTACATTTCGGACACATGGGGGGCTGTGGCAGCTCGGCGAGCTCTGAGTTTCGGACGCCTCAGAACTGATGCCCTCCTCACCTTTTTCTATTGAAAACGGTGACGGGTTTTTGTTGGACCGGACCGTTCTTTCTTCGCGTCGAGCGCATTACGTTCCGTCTTTTTTGGGCGTCATTGTTCCTCAATTCCAGGTGAGGAACGGCCACTTTTGGCTCATGGTCTTTGGAGTCTTGGCGTCCACCTTCCTCTCAGCACTGACCTTGAGTCGACACCGCTCGGCCTTTCGAAAGAACCGTCCGTATGGATGGTGCGTGGCGCTGGTGGTGTCGGCCCTCCAACTAGCTCCACTGGTCGAGATGGTGGACAAGCTGGGAGATGGAGTTTGTTGGGGTCTTCGTGAGGAGGAAACCAGTCCGCTGCAATCGGTGCCTGGGAAGGTGCATAGATAGCTCTAGGGGCTGATGCTTGCTGCTTGTTCACTCATGATTCAGGAATCAGACAAGACCTTCTTCATGTTTCTTCACTGCCATACCTAGGTCCTCAGCAGCTCCAATCATGGACGACAAGCACAGGAAATGAAGGGCAGCCGCTACGGTGAGAACCTGATGCGTGGCTTACGCAAACTCTCGATTGCAAGCTTGCCTTTGATTTTTTTGCGGCTTGGCTTTTCTGTTTAGGGCCCCAAGGAAGCATTGTAATTGGATGTTTCAGTACTTGCTGTTTCAGCATCTGGAAAGGAGAGGCCTTCCGTTACTTTGTTCCCAACATGGCTTGCAGCATTGCGGGGGCTATGTGTTGTCCAACATAGCTTCAGCCGAGGTCTGCAATTGTGCATTCCGCCCCTGGGCTTACAGATGCTTGAGTTGAGACTTGGGGGGCGCTTCTTTAGAGTCCCCACCCATCCAAAAGTACTCGAGAATGTCCAAAGTCATTCTCCCGAACCTGCACAGGCTTGGCTCCTGGAGGAGAGTCAAGATGGCAGGTGTGGCCAGCCCTGCGTCACAGAAGTTGCTGCTTTGACCATTGGTATCATTTGCTTGTCTATGGCCTGCGCGGATGCTTGGAATGCAAGAGGACGCTGTGAGCCATTGGCCCAAATGCTGCTGCATGTATTGCTCATGTAATTTGAGTGTCTAGATTCAATGATTCAATCTCAGACTGATGATTACCCATTGAAGCATTGAAACCAGATGAATTAGTCATTGAATCAACACTCCAATGAGTCATTGTATTACAATGATTAAATTGGGAAGACTCAGGCAACAGGTGATCAATGAAGCTCAAAGGAATGCATCTCACGTGGTCACGAAGGTTTTGTTGATGACTGAGGACGTTGTGCTGTATGTTTGGGTGGACGATGCCTTTGTGCGTCACCACAAGAAGCTAGTACAGGTGCACTACTTTGTGGAGATTTTGACCAGGCAGCTAGATGAAAGTTCCAAGTGGGCGTTGACGGCTATTTTCCAGCAGGAGTGCGCTGCACTTGTACTGTAAGGTTGCGCCGGGTGATGCATTGATTGAAGTTGACAAAGTGTGCATGAATGCAGACTGCTAGGGGTAATTGCTAGCTGCTGCTATATGATTTGTGAGCAGTGTCAGATCTCCACGTCCAGACGTCAGAGGCTTGAGGCGAGGATTGGACGTCCAGCAGCAGCCTCTGAGGCTTCCGCTTTTATGCTTGTTGTTGAACATGGAGTCCGTGGGTTACATTGCCTTGCTCTCCCTTCTCGCTTGCGATTTGTCGGCCAGTGCCTGGGTTTTGCAGCGAGCTGTGACGTGCTGTGACTATCCACGGAGCATACTGCTGATTGAACTTATATATATATATACACAGTAATGAGGAGGAAACAGTGAACGGGACTATACTATATTGTGAGCTATGCACTTTGAGCTCATAAATCCCATGAACCTCCACAAATGTTCCAGGCAAATCATGCACTGTATAATGTGTTGTATGTGTATCATATGTATATATATATATATCCAGTGTTGGAGGCAAAGAACTTGAGTGTCAACAGGCGCAATGGGTTTGCAGAATCTCCAAATTGGCCAACAAAGCTGACTTAATTTATTTATGTGTTTCAAATCTTCTTCACCTTCAGCTAAGGCTTCAGTTTGTAGTCACTCAACTAGTTCGGAAATGGACTGATTCATTGTGAGGTGTGCTGCTTTTGCTCATGCCAACGCTCTTGGGCTGGCGCCGGCGAATGTCCTGCAGACATGCATCGAGCCAGGCAAGGGTGCCAAGCCGCCTGAAAGCTTTTTAACCAATATCATTACACTCCTACGCCCCTTTGTTTCGTGCCCAATAACATATTACTATACGGACGGGGTTTGAAGCACAAGTGCGTGCACCAAGTATTTGCATGCGAGGCGCATCGAGCGAGAGAGGAGACTGAGAGCAGCACACACGCAGAGGGGGAGAAAAAGCAAGAGTTTGACTCCCCCTTCAGTTTCCTGGCACACTCCCTGCAAGAAATCATGGAAGAGATGGCAACATCCCTGGCCATGAAATATCGGAGGACCATGAAAAAACGGAAGGCCAAACCCGCTGGTCACTCCAGGAGTTCCCATGGGATTCGTGGCGGGACTGCCGTCGAACACAGCGACGACTTCGGGGCGTCAAGCGCTCCCCGGGGATCGACGGCTGGTCGACGTGATGGGAAGGTGGCAGAGGGTTGCCCTGTGTGAGGACCAGCATCACTGGGAGGTATGCCTGGCATGCCACCTTCCCATCACAGGACAATCTGTGGGCCAGTCTAGCCTGTCGCATGGGAGGGATGCAGAGCCTTGTGTGAGGGCAACCATATGCAGACAGAGAGAGAGAGAGAGAGACACGCGAACAGTCGAAATGACCGAGACATACCATCCGCTTGCATGCGCCTTGGTCTTTTTCCAGTCGCCTTCAGTACGTTCTTGGTAATTTGTTGCGGTCAGCCCCTGTGGGCGGTTCAACTTTAAAATACGCAATGAGAAATCCACAGCCCTATGACTCAAAGCATAGGAATACAATTTGCCCCTCTCCCTTCTCCCGCTGCCACTCTCTTGCAGGCATATACGACGTTAACATCTGGTTAGTAAATCACAAGGACGCCCTCAATTGCTAACGCCCTCACGGCGTTCCCCCATGTTTGTCATTGTTCCCAACCCCCCCTCAGGTGGCTAGCGCTGTGATCATGTCGGAGATCTTGTTCTTTGTGAACATCACAATGTTTGATCCACGAGAGGCCTTCCAGGTGATCAACATGGGATTTTACATCGTGACTTGGCAACTGGACATTCCGCCTGATTCACTGCTGATAGCAAGGAAAAAAGCCTGCTTTTGAGGGCTTTGGCATTTTTGAGGCGTCTCTGGCTTTTTTTTTGAGGCCTTGAAACTAAACTTGGTTTTGAGGTGAAGTATCTGGAAGCGTTCATTGTGTGTCGAATCTTGCCCTGGAGCATCCGGAGCGGCGAGTTCCGAACCACCTTCCAGGCCTCAAAAGACAAGAACAATTTTAAATGAAGAAAACAATAGAAAACACCCTTTCCAAAGCTTGTTGTATAAGCAAAGGTTTTAATCAGGTGTCTGGTATATATATATGTGTGTGTGTGTGTAGTTTTCCTATATGATAAAAATACATTATGCATAGGGCCGGTTGCAGTCTGGCCTTGTGTGCTTGCTGGAGCGAAGTGGATACTAGAGCCACAGTGAACTGGAGACGGCGTCGAGCACGGTGAATTTCAATTCGTAGATGCACCAACCCTTTGATGAGCTGATGACATTTGGGCTTTTGTGTTCCCAGCCCCAGCTCTTGACCAATTCTGGAGTTCCCAAATTCCTTTGGGGTATCAGACTGTCGCTACTTTGGTTTCCTGAGGGATTTTGACATATTTTGACCCGTCGCCCCGCAGGAAGTACAATTGGCGGCAGTGGTTCTCAACGCCTTCCTTGTATGGGTTGTGGTACCTAAGCTTCGGAGCATGCAGGTAGCAGCCTCAGATTCCAAGCTTTGCCAGTTGAATGTTTTTGGGAACGCGCTGGTGGACAAAGTGCCGTTCACACTTATTCAAGTGCTTGTTCCACGCATGCTTTTGGATGCTCTGTTCGGATTCCACTCGTTGGATTCCGGGCGCCTTACTCTGCAGTTTTGGCATGATCAGACACCGGACCCCGGAGTGATGTCGGCTTTGTCGCACGTAGCGTGTTCGGCAGGATGCTGCAATGTCCCATGCGCGGCAGGAGAGCTTCCACAAACCAAATTCCATTAACCGCGAACCCTTCCAGAATCAGACACCCTAGGGGGTGTCAATACCAGTGCTGTTTGTTGATAGGGGTTTGACACCCCCTACAAAAAGACCTCTTCACACCACCTCTGAAGGCTGGAGAGGGCGCAGCATGGCACAGCTAGTTAGCAGCATGACAACCTTGCCCGTGGCTCTTGAAGAATCTTCTTCAATGAGCCTCTTCAACCCCTTTGGCCAGCTGTTTCGTGCTCCCATGCGGAGACCACCCGAGACCGCACCGCGGTCTCCGCGGTCCGATCCCGCCCGGTGCAGCCGTGCAGGACATGCCACGGCTCTCGGAGCTGGTGCCCCGCGACGAGCGCGACGCTCATCCTTCGGCCTCGCGGAGCCAATTCTTCGGCTTGCCGGAGGCGCGGCGTCCGTGGTGTCGGGCTCCGGTCGTTGGAGGAGGGGCATGGAGGGGCTGGAGGGGCATGGTGTCGGTTTTTGGAGGGAGAGGGGGAGCTGATGAAGCGAAGGAACTTGGAGACTTGGAACTATTGTATGCGAGAGCCCTCGTGGAACCGTTCAGAAGCGTTCGGGGGAACCTGTTTTTTTCGGGAGTGGTTCGCGTCGTTGCATTGGAGAAAAGAAGACGAGACGTGAAGCTGTAAAAGAGGCTGTGTGAAAGCTCCAAACGTATGACAGTATACGGTTTATTGTATGTTATTGTAGCTCCATGAGTTATAACTGATATAAGAGCTATGGTCGAACAATTGAGTTGAATGCAGCTGCTTACATGCTTGGAACATATGAGCACACATACGCTTTTCCAGACTCACTGGAATGTCACGAGTGGACAAATGCATTCACGGAGTTAGACTTACAAACAACTTAGTTTTAATATATATGTTTTAATAAAAATTTGTTTCTCAGATACCGATTTGTTCTCATTTTTTGTCCCACCACCCAGGACATCACAATAATCAATAATATGTGCAAATATACTGGTTGGAGCACCACAGATCGAGAATTACGCACAAAAATAACATCTATTCGGAAAGGATGGAACATGGGCGATCGGTTTGGAGCAGTCACACCCAGAAATGGCAAAGCTTAATGATGAGAATGTAGCATATGCCCTACACATTGCAAAATAACAAGATAACATTCTTTTCACAACCCTGGGTTTGATTAGCACCATGCTTAATTCAAGCTCCGCGTCCTACTTGTACCCATAATGCTATGCCACTTCTTGACCCTCCTTCTGAAGGTTCATGGGAGAGGAACCCACTGGTGTTGTTTGTCAACATTGAAGAGGCACAACTCAAATGAAAGTGCTTTGGATCTCCCTTTTCGGTACATCAAGGACCCTATTAGGAGCTCCTGGCCTTACCTAGGAGCCATGTTCGCTAGTTCACGGGGCTCCGATCGCATCGCGGCATCGAACCGTGAATTCGATGGGACGCTATAGACTTACTAAAGAAAACACCAACCGTTCGCTCCACGTCCACCGGTCGCACGGTCGAGTTCGCCCGGACGTCACCGGTCACCGAGACCATCGCCCTGGAGTTGAGCACCGTTGGAAGCCCTCAGCACGTGGTGCGGGAGAACCGTGTGGAAAGTGCACGTTTGGAGCTTCTGGGGGTACCTCGGTAGAAGCTGCGTTGGTCGCATTGAGCTGGCTTCATGTCACCTGGTCTCAATGTCTCAGTGTCTCCGTTGTGTTTGACCCACGAAATCTCACCGTGTCAAAGCGTTTGGGAATGCTTCTTGGACCATCTGGACCCGATTCTTCCAAGGACATGCTGGAGGGTCTGTGTCTGACGAGTGAAGCACAAAGTGATCGCAATCGTCCAGCTGTGGCCCGGAGCACGGTGGCCGATGTCCTTTGGTCATTGGTTCTACCCTGGAGTGGCGAATATGTGGAGTCTACATCGGGTGGACGCATCTGGCTGGAGATCTTGGATCCGGAACGGGGTGCCATACTCATCCGTCGCGAGAGATCCAGCTCCGATCCAGATCCCTCCGTCGGCAGATGGGTGGAATCCCTCGGCGTGGTGTTCCAGGGCACGGCCATTGAAGCAGTGCTCGATGTGGCAGAAGGCCGTGTGCTTGGAACCCACACAGGCGAAGAGATCCGATTTGCGGATGCCAATGGGACCATTTGGAGACGAGGAATTGTCGAGGGCAGCTCGGGCAGCTCGGGCTCGAGCAGTTCAAGTAGTTCAAGTAGCTCGGGTGCCAGAGAGCAAGAAAGTGCTGCCAGGGAAGTTCTGCGGCTTGTGCTCACACAAGTGCTCCTCTCATTGCGCTGGGAGCCTACCTTTTTGGGCTTGGGTGTCGTCGGTGCAGGCAAAGCCAAGGCTGGGGATTTGGTGGCAATAGATGCTGCACGACGACCCTTGCTGAGTTTTCTCCTTCGCTACGCTATTGGAACGCATGACCTCAGCTTTATTTCAGAGATCTACTGGTCTTTGTGGTGCTTGTCCCAGGACTACCTTGACCCAAACCGTGCAGCTTATGACAAAGCGCGTTGGGTGTTGATCAATGCTTTGGAGGGAAATATTGAGTTCTGGGACAGCATTCGTGGCGTTCAGCTCGATCAATGGGCGATTCAAAACAAGCAACTCGATTCAAAAAGAATTGCTGGATGTTATTCTTCAATTATTTGCCAGTAGTTTGTACTGTCAATGACACTGACAGTTAGCTGTCGAGTGTGCGGTTTGGTCCCCACCCCGCGGGCCAATTTCAAGCATCGAGGTTTGATGTTTAGATTTTGGACAACAAAGACAGCTCTCCAAACAGAATGAACATGTGTGTTTTTTTTTTCAATTGTTCCCATGATGAAGACAGACAGCTAGCTTTGCTGCTCGAATAGAGGTCTGGGAAGTCGAATCCGGAAGCGGATGCCGACAAAGCCTTCAGAGATAAAGCTCTTGGCTTGATTGCTCAACAGGCGGTGTTTGGGTGTTGGGTTGAATCACGATGTTCCACCCGAAGCACCACCGTCATGGTGACCTGATTCAGGATGCTGTCTTCTTTAGCGCCACTGCACTGAATGTAAGAACTTCATTGATGGAGATTCTGAGTATAAGACACATGTACAGATATTTTGATACTGTATCCATTATTTGTGGTGCTGCTATTGCATTTGCCAGACCAGACTCAGCAGGCAGCTTTGTGGCAGCAAACGATGCAACTGGCTGCCCTTGGCAGGGAAACTGAAGCTTGGCGGTTATGCAGGCTTTTGCCGAAACGCTCTGTGCATGGTTCATATATATGGTTCTAACTCCTAGCTCGAGTGTTCCCGACGATTCTATCATCATGCATCCGTGCCTCATGCGAATTGGGCTGCAGTCAGTATGGTCGACCAAATAGGTCAATGCCAAGACCGGGCAGAGAGAGATGACCAGACTACAAGTTTCTCCCAGCTGCTACTGCATGCTATCACACAAAAAGGCAAGGACCTCAGGACTTCGTCAATGGCTGTTGAGCTGCCGAGGCTGGTGACACAGCTGAAAAGACCAGAGCTATTCGCCATCGCTTGCATGAAATGAAGCAGCGCGAGGATCAGGCCGAAGCAGGATGAGGTTCAAGAGGTTTAATCCATGGTTTTGAGCCGTTGTGTCTCCAAAAGTTGCTACCGTTTTTGTGCGAGACTTGGAGACCCAGCAGGCCACAGACCCAGAGGAGAGGTACTTGGTGTATTTGGAGGATAGCTACCTACTGGAGCGCTTGGAGGTGTGGACGGTGTTTTTCGGGTGTACTCGTACCCTCGCGAGCCTCGCGGTGTTTTTTCCGAGCACGAGAGCACGACTTGGATAATTACACCAAAAGTCATGAAGAAAATGCATGCAAGCATCAAGTTGTATCAAGTTTGAGTGTATTGTTGTTTGTTCTTTCCTGCCCCTCAGGTCGACGCGAGCTTGTTAGCCGCAACGCAAGCAGCAAGTGGCTAGGCTAGGCAGCGAAAGGTAGGTTGGAATTGGAACATGTTGGAACTCTTCTCGCCGATGACTCTGCACACAGTGAACGTTGGCTCACTAAGCTTTGGTTTAGTGCCGGTGTTGGATTGCGCACATATTTCGAATTGGTGCAGCAACAAGCTGATGGTCAGTCTTCAGATCACAACACATTGAGGACTGAACTGCTTGACCGGTCTCGTGCTGTCACTTAAAACATCCTAACCATTCTGTGAGAAGCTAACGGGACTCTCAGCTATTGGGTGGCTGCAGCAGCCAAGGTTTAGTGAGACAGCCCCGCGACTTTCTCTCTACGCCTGTTGATCCCAGCGTGCCCTTCCTTGGGGTCAACATTGGCCACTGCAACTTGGAAACGCGAAATCAGTGGGTTAGATGCAAGACTCTTCCCACTCACATGACAAATGCCAGCACTGCCAGCACGACTTGTTCGCGGCATCCAGTTCGACAGAACATGACATCCAGTTCGATGAAGCCGAAGCGGCCGGCCATCCCAAGGCGAAATCTTGAAATCCAATGCGGCACCGCTGTTGCTGGGCTGTTTGCAGGCCAAGCTACGGATGGGTTTGGAGATTGAGCGACGCAAAGCGCACTACGTTCGAACATGTTTACTGATTTGAGAGCTACAGGGTTGAGATGGGGTGAGGGTTGGCAATTGGAATCATTTTGTTTGCATCCCAGCATTCGTAGCAGTTGCTTCTATCAAGCAATTTCATACCATCGAGTTCTTCAAGTGCTTAGGGGGCGGCCCAAAAACTGTTGAACTGTAGCTGTGCTGTGGACTCTGCCGCCGCAACACGAGCGACGAAGCGCTTTGACGACGAAGCGCTGACGTCCGGGTGCGTCGGCCCGGTGAGGAACCCGACTCTGGCTGTGGTCTGGACTTGGAAGCCGGTGACGGAATGCGACGAACGGTCAGTGAGACTCAGGTTGGGATGGGTGACTGCTCCCAAGTGATTCCAAGAGCGCGTGGGATGTAAATGGATGTAAATGGAATCCAGATGTCCGCAGGTACTTGTATTTTCGTGTTCCAGAGGTGTGTGTGTGTGTGTGGGTAGTATTGGACCTTGCCTGGCAAACGACAACGAGGAAGACTTGGTGGTAGATCATCGTCAAAATTTTTAACAGCTGGCAGCTGGAAGGACTTCTGAAATGACAAGGATTTCTTTCGTTGAGTTGCTGGCCCATTGGGGACGCTCAGGGAAATGAAAAGGACATTGTGAATCGTTGATATATGTTGATATCATTGCGCTGTACTTACCACCCATAGTGCAGGGGAGTCAGAGTAGAACAAATAAGGACCTAAAGAATCACTGTCACGATCTGATCAGAGACCCGCCGGCTATTTGAACACCCCTCGGCGACAGACCCAAGCAGAGGCAAGCTTTGACTGGACCGCAGGTGGACCGCTACATGGTGAAGGTGGGTGATGACTTACGACAGGCGGGTGGCGAAAGAAGAGAGAGGCTCAGCAAGGCTCAGTGTAGCCAACACTCCAAACTAATTACGAAGGTTGAAACTTGAGTACTTGTGACATCAGCGTTTCAGCTGGATGCAGAGGATGGGGCTTGGATTTTGGGTTCTTCAGCTTGTCTCAGAAAGCACTTACTGTATATCGCTGCGTCCAATTCAAAAAGCATCCACGTCGAATCGAAAAAAAGATCCCTCGGCTCTCTCCTCTCCCCAGACCGTCGCAAACCCGTCTCAACAGGATCAGCTGGTTCTTCAAATGCTCCACCTGATGGAGTTGGTCTGGCAGGAGCGGGTCCGCGTCCGTCTCCCGCGGGGACGTTCCGCGGTTCGCGAGCGTCTCACGAAGTGCTGCACCTGTTCCAGGTTTCGACGAGCGCGCGTTCTGCTTCGATCGCATGTGGCAACGTTTGTGGTGCGATCGGTATGCTCGTTTGTCCCAGAACGCGTTCTTCCTTGTGGACCGGACGATGCACGGACCGAGGAACGTCTACCGAAAGAAGAGAACGACATGCTGCGCTTCGTGCCATACAGAGACCCGTCACAGACCCGCCACGCCTAGACAAATAAACCCGCCCTGAGTGAGAGTTAATTACCGCTAGTACAAGCGCACTTGACCGCAACTGTAGTGTTTGAATGTGTTCGAAGGGGGGTTCAATCAAGGAGGGTCAATGAGAAAGACGTTTGTCCCTCCTGCTGTTTTCAAAACATGTCAAAACACATTTCTGAGATTCATGCTTTTTCTGGGCATGCCACCAAAAAACACACCGCTTGAATTAAAGAGCTGGAATGACATGTGTGAACAACGCTTGCTGACTTACTGAGTACTGCATGTTGACCGAAGGGATTCGCGAAGTGTGACCGAACTGTCACGGGGAATGCTGAAAACACATGAAAACACTATGCCTGTTTCTTCCCGCGCGCTGTGCACGGGAAGAGTTCTGGCTAAGGAGTTCTGGCCATGACCCCATCAGGTGGCTACATCAAGTTTGTACCTGGCGCAGTGTCTTTGTCCAAAGCTCTGGCCCAAAGCAACGGGGCCACTTGGACCAGATCAGCCACAGTGAACACGCGTCTCACTGCTCGTTGTCAGAAGGTGCGCAGCGGCGCAGCTTTGGATTTGGGAGGATCGGAAAGCTCTCCCCAAACTGAGGATGTGAATGTCCAGTTTTCCTTCGTGCCAATGTAATCTGAGGATTTGATGTCATGGTTCTCTTCAAACCTTCCCGAGCACATGACAAAAGACCAGGCAGGAAAATGCAGGACATTGGTCTAGACCAGCCAGACTGGATTATGTGTTAAAAAGCATTGATGTTTAATCAAAGGGCCAAGTGAATTCACTTCTGTTGACAGCATAAACAATGCAAACATGATGTTGTTTGTTGTTTTTCCAGGTTCTGAACAACTTGTGTGGAAGTGCTGCAGCCTACTGCGTGGCCACCTACGCTCAGCCCTCAGATCGACGAGCTGAAATTTCGCTGGGCAGACCGGCGGTTTCCGCACGTGGCATGGGAAGCAGCCGTTGGGTGAGAAGGTTTTACGTTTCTGTTTGCAGTTCTTTGTTGAAAACTGTGTTTGGCTCAAGAAATTGAAACCAAAAATGCCTCACATGTTGGCAGTGCAGCACTTGTACCCTCCAGTTGAGCCAAGTTGGGACTTCATTCATCATTACCACATGATACAGAGCAAGACCGAAAAAGCATCTACACCTCCCGGCATGTGCCAGCTGTTTGTCGAGATGCGACACTCATCCCAAGTACCTCCACTCTGCACCTTCCGCAGCTGAAACCGCCGTGAAGGCCGTGCGAACACCGTGAGTTGGTGCGAACACCCACGCGCCGGCCGCTAAGCCGCTGTCGGATGCACCGGGCTCACCGGGGGCCTTGGAGACCCAAACCCACGCGCTGGGCCGTCGTGGCCCTGGCCTTGGGCCGCCGCGCCTGGGTGACGACGCTGTCGGAGGAGTTCGGACGTCGCTGGGCGCCCCTGGCCGCTGCGTTGGCCCGGCCCAAGCGCTACGCTGCGTGGGTCAACCCATTCGCAACAGGGGCTGCAGCTCGGAATCAAGGATCAAGGATTGAAACACCAAGGTGGAGTGGTATAGACTGGAGGCAGAGTATAATTCGATAGGCCGTTGTTCCCTCTTTTTCGATCTAACCATATCTAACCTAAGTAAGCCCACTAGTACAGTATATGCACTATAGTAGCGATTTGCACTAGTGGGGTAGAATGCGCATTGTATATTATAAGTACAATATACTAATGATAGTTACTGTATATAACATAACATATAGTGTTCCAGAGCCCACCTGATCAGGACGAGTTCCTGGGATCTCGTGGCTTTCATCGACTGCCGGGGCTCGCCGGAGCAGCCCACCTCTACGGTTGGGCTGGTGAAAGCGAAAGCGAAGACGAGCGCTGGCTGCCAAAGCCACCCACGTGTCCCAAGACGGGGCTCAAGATGCATTTGGGGTTCAGAATTCGGACATTTTTGTTTTATTTTGGGAGAAGACCAGGAGTTTCAACGGAGTGTTTTGTTTTTTCTCCTCGACTCTTGAACGAGTGAATGGAGAATGGCCTCCAAGTTCAGCACCCCTTTGGAACTGCTGCAACTATCGAACCAGCTACGCCAGGTATTATCCTTTGGATTTGGCTTCTGCTATGCCCGTGCTATCTCTCATCAACCAGACGGAGCAAAGCACAGGCCGGTCCACAGAGGTTGTAGTGGATACTTGTGCTGCTCCTGGTGGAAAGTTCTTGGTAATGGCTGGCTTTTACCTACCTTCCACTTCCGCCAGACTGATTGCCATCGAGTGGGACAACTTCCGCTTGAGCCGCTTCAAGCAAAACCTGCGGCTGTACTTGCCATCTGATCTACGAAAGAGCGCCCGCTTGACCGTTCGTCGTGGCGATGCTTCCAAGATCCTGAGCCAACTTCCGAATGGTCCCTTTGATGCCGTGCTGGTGGATGCCCCTTGCAGCTCCGAACGGGAACGTCTCTTACGGGCCAATGGCAGGCTGGCTGGCTGGCAAGGGGCCGGAGGGAAGCTTTTTGGACCGAGGATGCTTATAAAATCCTATATATAAACTAAATAAACGTATACACATATATATATGTATATATATATATATATGTGTGTGTGTGTGTGTGTTACTCATAGTAATACACATAATTATGTATAAGATACGTTTACAATATATATATATACATATTAAATTAACATTTTTTTAAATAATGTATATACATATTGTATATATATATATATAGACATATATGTGGGATGTAGGATTTGCAGTATGCTCATGTAGGAAGTCTATTCAACTCTAGCGGCTAGTGTTTTCACATTTGCCTGCATTGCAGACTATGAATTGTGCAATCATAAACCGGTGTTGTTTCTCAGCCAGAGTTTGCGAATGTGAAACCGCTCAATCATTCCGGTCTGAAGGAAAGTTGAAGAGCCTTGGAAAATAGAAAAAGCACTGGCAAACTCCCGACGTCAAGTGGCTCTTCTCAGATCTGCCCTGCAAAATGCAATGGGTGGCACCGTTGTTTACGCAACGTGTGCATTGTCCCAGATCGAGAATGATGCGGTGGTGCAGGACTCGCGATGTGCAAAGTATATAGACTCAATTCTTCTCAGCATTCACTCGTCAAAGCATGTCCAAATAATATGTTGACTACTCGATGGTTAGGGTGATCTTAGGGTTTTGACTGGAAGTTTGTTCAATCATTTAATTATGAAACAGCATCGAAGAAAATAAAGCAAGCAACTAGAACAAAACGGCCTGGCAGGGCTCCAAAATGAGACATCACGGGGCTTTAGCTGTATGATGCCCAGACCGGTCAACATTCCCGGTCTAAAGGAGGTCTTGGAGAAGAGCACAGGGACGGTCGTGGGTGACACCCCTGGCTTCAGTGACATCCCTGGAGTGGAGCTGGAGTGCACCAGGCATGGCTGGCGTGTCCTGCCAGATCGGCCGAACCATTGGGGTCCACTCTACTGGGCCACATTGCAAGACACCCCGCACCGTCACCGTCCGCGAAGACCAGGAGATGAGTGACCAGCTGACCCTTTTCGCATCTCCTTGGAGACCGACACGCCAAGGCTGATTCGAGACCCCAAGAAGAACGTTCTCTTCTTCGATTTGTGGATCTCCCGTTGGCTGTGGAAAGGAAGACCGTCCAGTTTTGAGGAAAGGAAGACCGTGCCGACCGTGCCCCCAAGTCTCGGGGGCGCGGACCGAGCAGCATTGGACGTCCGCGGAAAAATATGACTCGCCACGTGCTGTTTGAGTTGTAGCTGTTGTAGCTGTTGTTGGTCCAACTCCTTGCCGCATGGCTGGACAGATTCTGAGGTGCTTGGGATTGGAGATCGCCACCTGGACAACCTGCAAATTACGCCTGAGGGGCATTTCTTCCACATCGACTTCGGCTTCATCTTCGGAGAAGTGCTCCGACCGCTCGGACACATCGAAGTCGACACATCGACCGCATGAAACGCCACCGGGTCCACCGTCCGTTGTCACGACCGTGAACGTGACTCGGTCGTGACTGGTCGGGTCCCACGGTGAAGGACCCAAAGCCCTTTGCGCCCCGGCTACGGTTGCCACAGCAGATTGCCAGCGTTTGGACCTTAGAGAGTGGGGTTGGCGGCCGGCGAGTCGCACGAGTGGGCTTCCAAAAGAACCCCCGGCACCGGTGCCGGGTTTTGTGGAGCTTAGCAGAGAGGTCAGATCTAATGAAGTGAGAATTATAAAGGAGCCAGACTGGGTTCTTCAAGTGTGCGTGAATTGGTATGCTGTACGTCATTGCTTTGCAGAGGTATTATCACCGTTACCATATTATGTCACTGGACCCTATCTCATCTCTTTCCATTTGTTGCATAAATCTTTTGATGTTCAACTTCCAACCCGGCAGCTTGTTTTTCTGATGATGGTACATAGTATAGTGACATCGTTTTTTCTGTTTAGTACATGGTTCACGACGGTCACCGGGTTCCACGGTTCCTCACCCAGTTCCATTGCCGACTCCACTTTTGTGTCGTTTGAGTGACCACGCTGTCGTTCCATGGTGCACCCGCCAAGGTGCTCATGAAGGAGGCTGACCATGGGACGTCTGGTGGTGCCTCGGTGGTGCTTCACCCACTAGGACATACTAGGACTAAAGGACAAAGTTGAGGGCGGATCAGGTGCGTGGTCCAGATCATGTTTTGCTTCGTTGTGATGTCGTTGATTTGCAGAGGTCTTGGGCCAGAAATCTCCAGCTTAGACTCCAGCAATCATGCGCATGGGCGCACTCCGCCCAGTCGAGTGGATCCCCAAACAAATTGGCGGATAAAACGAGAATTTGCTTCTTTCTTTTGCGACCGAGGTACTTTGTTGGACCGATGTTTTCATCTGGCTGGCCGCGCCTACATCGCACTACGCCGATCCATGACCTTGTGGCTTAGACCAAGGATTGTGACTAGTGTACTAAACCTTCCAAGACGATCCAAGACTGATTTGCATTTGGAGTGAACTCCATTTTCTATCGGAAGTCGGAACGAATACTGACAGCCTGTTTGCCACTCGAGATCTCTTAAGACGTGTGTGTATATATATATAATGCGCGTTTTTTTGCATGGTTTGCATTTGCTGCTGTGTTGCATTGGTTGAGCCAAAAGCACAATTTTGATTGGCCCAGGTGGGTGTCCCTTTTGCGGGTCACTGGGCGGGCTGGTGGTGCTGGCTGCGCTTGCCTTCGACAAGATGCCAATGCAGCTGTTGTCGTGGTAACAGTGGAAGCCCTAGCAGTTCAATTTGGTTGGAGTGTCATGGCTTTGGTCTTGTTCGGAAGCATGGTATATTCAGCATGATTCAGACAATTAATGCTAGTATATGCTGATTATGTATTTCAGTATCTGAGACTTGACTCAGAATGTCATCCATGTTGCCTTGATATGATGCCTCTAGGACCGTCTCCGCAGCGATCTCGGCGGCTATGAGGAGTTCGGCTTTTCGTCGTTGACGAACACGTTGTTCAACATGGTTCTTTTTGCATCCTGGTGGGTGTATCTCGATCCTGCTGAACTGACGTGTGTGGGCGTCCTGGTCCCGAAAAATGCCCACCGGGACCTGAACAGTTGATCTACAGTACCTGGAAGGTCGTTTGCTACATGGTGGACCAGGCAGGTTTTGACCCATCCCCACTTGTTAGCTCGCATGTCGGCATCATCCGCTCTGTCAGATTGTGGACAAGCTCTGCCAATGCCATAGATGCTCGTATAGTGGCCCATGCCTGCATGAACACTTGAAGAGAAAGTCCCATATTTATTCTGCAGCTGTCGGCAATTCGCTTCGTCTTGATGTTGGATTCGCTCGATTCCTGGGCGTTGCTGACAGCGTTTCGCGTGGCGTGCTGTGCCAGCCCGAGTCGCTGTGGCCGTTGGTGGGTCACGATTCCCGCAGCTGGGGTAAGACCGCACCAGTATCCTACAGTCTTCTCTCAGGCTGGTGGCTTCCAGATTGCGGCAATTGAGCGTCGACCAATGGTCCGGATCAGGAAAAAACACGACATTAACAACTTTTGGCAGAACGACTAGTGTAATTTGCTGCTCGAGGCTGTCCCAACAAGCCTGCAAGAATTTCGTCGTTTAAGATGTGGTCTTTCGGATGTTTGCTTTTGGTTAATCTGCTGGTTGATCTTTTTTTCCTGCATGGTTTGTCATTGTACTTGTTGCCGAACACAGCACCTGCTTGCTAGCTATCCTAGCAATTTTCAGATTATTTCTTGCAAACCAGTGGTTTATCCTCTCTATCCTGTCCGTGCAGTCTTTACCTTGCCGTTTGTTGCACTTTGTGGCTACGTGTGCCTCCAGTCTTGCGCTGGTCGATGCAACCTTCGGTTGGCTGACACGGCTGAACCAGGCGCTCTTCGGCCAACGGCAACTCCAATCCGTGGCCGATCGCCCGGAATGCGTTCAAAGGCGGTGGTTGCGCGCTGGTCCAAGTGAAAAAGATGGTTTACAAGGCAGGTGGTAGCTTTGTCCTGCAGCAAAGGAACCAGAACTTTGAATACACAAGTTCTCACCCTACCTCCAGGTTCCTCATAGTGGGTAGGAGGTTGTAGTTTCAATCGGCCTTGCACAACCTTCGTAATCATCCCTGTCCCTGCCATTCTGCAATGCCCGGAAGATCTGGAAGTGCCAACCTTACACTGAGCCTTACACCACTCTTTGATTTGGGAGTCAAAAAAAGGCCCAGCTATGCTTGCTGATCCATCGGCCTCGGCCGTGCTCTGACCTGAGGAGGAAAAAGCAGCAACGGAGTTCCTTTTGGTGCCATTGGCTGCATGGTACGGAAAGCTGACGAAAGCTGCGTGAGCACGTAGCAGAGCGTTCGTGTACGAGAGCGTCCATGTGCACGTAGCAGACCGTTTGTTGTTTTGCATGGCATGGTGTTTGATTCGGTGGGCTACGAAGACAGGTGTTGACGGAGAGCACGGAGGCGTTGTACCCGGCACCTTGGACTGCAGCCGAGACAACAAGGCGATGAGAGACACTTCTTCCGCCACTCGAACTCGCTTGCCAACTGAGTGATAGGCTTTGTTCATTTGCTTGAGCTCGGCTACACTAGGGGAACAGACGCCACTGCTGACCATCTGGAGTTGAGGTTCTTACTGACAAGGTGCACCAGCTGGGTCTCTTCTGGAAGTGATAACCCCTGCACAGCTCCGGACTCTGATGCCAGAGCTTTTTTGGACTCTTTTTGCTGAGAATTCCATGCACAGCAGGCAGTGCCCGTACAATTCGCTTGGCACTGACTGCGAGGTGTGCTTGCATGTGTTATTTGCAGTGTTGTAGCGCGGCCTGAGGGTACAGTGTGACCCAGGAAAAGATGCCGATGGCTGACCACTCAGATAGTTACAAGATGTTATAAGATGTTATATATATATATATATACTAGTTACTGTATAAGTTACAAACTGCGAGAAATTCTGTTGTTCTTGCAGGGGAGGTGCCAGGCATTGTGGCAGGGTTCTTGTTTATCCATGACTTATGAATTGTAGTCTCCACTAAGCCTTCAGCTAGATTCCTGGGCTTTGCCGCACTGATCGCACTTCATGACCCAGAGCGGATTGTGTGCAGGCATTGTTGACTATGCAGATTTGCCAGATCCGGTGCAATAGACGAGCTAAGCAGTCTTGTTGTGTGTCAAGTTTCCGGTGTGCAGCTGAGATGGTAGGTACGTTGATTATATATTATATGCATCCTAAAAGCAAAGACGCGCAAGTGGCTGAAGTTGCCAATGACTGGCATACTTCAGTGGGTCCAAATTCTCGTGCTCGCCGTTGGACGAGTGACTTCCCAACTTCCTTGCAGGAAAAGAGTTCAACTTCACTGCGCTAGGTTTTGGAATAGCAAGAGGCAGACATTTCGGGATTGAATGGAGGCTTTAACAGCATACCTATTGCACTGAGGATGTAGAAACCACCAATCAACCCCGTGACTTCGTCGCAGCTCCCCCAAGACTGCGTCGTTTTTGCGTGTTCTTCGGCATCAAAGGAAGATATCCTCAGAGAGTGGTCTTTCTGTCTCCGCAGCCTTAATGGTTTAAGGAAAAAACTCGAAGCATTTACCAGTTCGACTTCCAGTTCCATGGCCCATTACCAGTTCCACCCCGAACAGGCAGCTGTTTTCGCGAAGCGCGCTGTTCGAAAGTGGGCACTGCTTCCAAAACGCGGGGCGAGAGAGGACATGGGACCGGCAGCTTCAGCCTTCCCGCGATGGGTCGGGTAGCTGAGTGTCTGGCCCATTTTTTGAGGTAGACAGAGAGACAGAGCGATATGGTGGATAAGTCAGGTGTGTCATGCAGTCATATTCTTTGTTTCTTTTGTTGATGTGGAGGCTATATATTTGTAGCACACATTGATTCCAAGCGGCTTCTTGTGCCGGAAACCGGAGGTTGACAGCCCGAAGAGTGGGGCGACGAACGTATCGGAGGAGTGGGGCGACCACGCAGCACAGGTCCTTTAGACGTTCGATTTTTTTGAGGTCCTTTTACTGTATTTGTTGCATTGTGGACCTTGGATTTTGCTGCCAGCACATCCAACACATGGGGAAGTATGATTGAATCGTCGCGGCTGGACTGGCAGGAGGGTTTTGTCGGCAGTGTGCAAGGAAAGCAGCAACAACAACATCAACAACAATGTAGATGAACAAGTCAGTGTCCTCAGCATCCCAACAACGGGCACTATGAGGTGATGTAGCTCAGAAGGGGTGGGATGGATTGGATGGCCAGTTGATGTGGACCATGAATCATATTGGATCATTGACCAGGGGAGTCATACAACTCAGCGCGTACACCCGCTAATAGTAACAGTAACAAGGACGCTACTAGTAACAAAGGGCATCGCTACTAGGAGCACATCAACTCAGCACATAAACTCCACATTTTGCCTCCGAGCTCCACATGCGAAGACCGAGCCTGTGCGGACCGAGCCTTCCGCCACATGTCCCTGGACATGTGCAGGGCTGGCTTCTGGCGGAGCTGGACCTGGAAACGGAGGGGACGGGAAGCATCCTGGGTGCATTGGAATGGTGGGGTGAGGAAAATCCTGTTCTGCTTCAGGTCAGAGGAAGCCAGTGGAACGAGGCGCCCAGAAGCGCAGAGTTTCCCATTCGAGCTTCACCCAAGCGGTTTATGACATACTTGAAGGATATGCAATTTCTGAGGGTTCACTTGTACTGTGCCTATGGTGGCATGGACCAGGCTTCGAAACACGTGGGCTTGTGTGAAGTAAGCTTGCTGCCATTTCTGCGTGGGCCAGATACAGACTACAAGCTGCATTTGGATGGCCATTTTCCTGTTGTGAAGAGCAGTTCTGACCACATCACAGTTGGGCAGCTCCGATTGCGCCTGGACACAGAGTGGGCTGAACATGCAGAGTTGCGTCCCAAGCAGGACTGGGCATGTGCTTGCTACTAACTGTTCTTAGGATTCTATCGAAAGTTGTCGAGTGTGTATATAGGTATAAAAATCATGGCAAATGGTATATATAATTAGAATGTTTCTGAGAATGGAATATATGGGTGGATTTGGGGCATGCCTTTTTCGCTCTGGAGCAGCTTCTACTAGTTCTGTCACTAGTTCTGACTCAGTCGGTCGAGTCACTCATTATGTTCGTTTACTGCTCGCCTCTTCAGGATGCGCTTTCGTCTTTTGAGGCTCATGAATGGAAAGCAAAGCTGGAAGAGAGCAAGGCTTCCGTGCCGCCTCCAACCGATGAAGCCGCTGTCCTGCAAGCCGCTGTCCCGCTGACCGATGAAGCACGTGGTCGACATTTGCAGGTGCACTTGTGTGGAGTGCGTTTCAAGGCCTCTGCCATGAAGGAAAGAAGTATTACCATCACATACCGTTTGGACTTGAACCAAGAGGTTTCAGTCAATGCCGAGCTGGAAGATGGAGATGAAGCGTGTGCCCTTTTGGGCTCGGTCAAAACTTCCAGCACACCCATTTGGCCCGATGGCTCAGGAGAGATACATGTTTCACTGGAGCGGTGCCACGATAGGTTCAGAATTGCAGAGATGTTGACATCAACACCAGTGGCGATGCCCTTGTTACTGATAGCTTCTAGCTACTAGTAGTAATGCCCTTGTTAATTCCCATTGCTTGCGCCATTCTGAAATCCTGTAATTAGGTTGAGCCCACCATTTTAGAAGAATAAAAGTTCAAAACAACCTCTTGGGATAGCATGTCAGGCGGAGCTGCAGGATCTATATAACAGAATAACTCCGAATGGGGATGCTGGATTTTGTAAAATCAGGATGCCTAGGTTACTTTAGGGGTTGGCACCTTGAATGCAAGATCGGGTAGGCCCACGGGATTCTATGAGGAATTTACTAGACTACCTCTATCCACCTGGCTGCGCATGATGTTGCTAGACTACCTTTGCTGCCAAATTCGCACTCGAAATGGTGTTCCTGGAGGAACACGAAGCAAAGCACCGACAAGATCAAACAGAGCCCAAATGTTATCACACGTTTGCCAAAAAAGGCTGCAGAAGAGCGTTGCTATATAAATGGTTTGACATTTGCAGATCCCTCCTCTGTCAACGATGCCCCTGAACGCTCCTGGAAAGGAATCAAAGCAACAGGATTTTACAACACTATTTGCCTCCACTAAACTGCGGATGCAAACCCCTCTCAATCAGTCCTCTCACTTCTTCAAAAGTTGGTCCACCAGGCCATGTCCCCCCGATTGTCCAGAAGATTCCTGGGTGCTATGGCAGGTTGCCCAATGCTAAAGAAAGGAGTGACAGAAACAGGTTGGTTCATGCCTAGGATTTTACTAAGGCTTTGCGCCCCTGTGACAAGTGGTTGCAGGGTTGATGCACAGGACTTTTTTTAAGATTGTGGGTGGGCAGGGCTTTCTTTCTTTTCCTGTAGTCTGACCCACTCTGACGGACATTGGGACACAGGATGTTTCACAAAACCACGTCCGAAAAAAATACTTTACTTCGAGTGACCCCCACCATGACATTTCAATCATTTGTCTTGATGCCATAGTGAGGAGCATGTTGCCATAGTCGTGAGTATTGTAGTTCTCGATTTCGCTTGCGGGTCCTTGGGTTGTGTGCTGTGGTTGTGTGTTTGTGGTTGTGTGTTTGTGGTTGTGTGTTTGTGGTTGTGTGTTTGTGGTTGTGTGTTTGTGGTTGTGTTTGTTGTTGTATGTTTGTGGTTGTGTGTTTGTGTTTGTGTTTGTGGTTGTGTGTGTTGTGTGCTTGTGTTTGTGGTTGTGTGTTTGTGGTTGTGTGTTCGTGCTTGTGCGTTTGTGTTTGTGTTTGTGTGTTGTTGTGTTTGTGGTTGTGTGTTTGTGGTTGTGTTTTTGTTGTTGTGTTTTTGTTGTTGTGTTTGTGGTTGTGTTTGTGGATGTATGTTGGTGGTTGTGTTTGTGGTTGTGTGTTTGTGGTTGTGTGTTTGTGTTGTGTTTGTGGTTGTGTGTTTGTGGTTGTGTGTTTGTGGTGTTGTGTTTGTGGTTGTGGTTGTGCTTGTGGTTGCGTATTTGTGGTTGTGTGTTTGTGGTCGTGTGTTTGTGATTGTATTTGTGATTGTGGTTGTGGTTGTGTGCTGTGGTTGAGATCTGGCAGGGAACACTTGGGCCTGGAGCTCGCGGTTGGGGTCCGGCAGAGAGCACTGGGCGCGGATGGTCGTGGTTGAGGTCCGGCAGGGAACACCGGGCGCGGATGGTCGTGGTTGAGGTCCGGCAGGGAACACGGGCGCGGATGGTCGTGGTTGAGGTCCGGCAGGGAACACTGGGCGCGGATGGTCGTGGTTGAGGTCCGGCAGGGAACACTGGGCGTGGATGGTCGTGGTTGAGGCCCGGCAGGGAACACTGGGCGTGGATGGTCGTGGTTGAGGTCCGGCGGAGGAGGACGAGGAGGAGGAGAGGGAGAAGGAGGAGGCGGAGGAGGAGGAGATGGGGCTGACATAAAATCTAACAGCAGGTGGGGAGTAAGACCTTGGTACCCAATGAACAACTAGAAAGTCACCTTGGAACGGTTGGATTTTAGTACGTAAAATCCTGTAGATCAACCCCCGCTGCCGGTAGCAAGGGGGATCTTGCTACTAGTAGCGACGCCCTTGTTACTAGTAACTTGTTTGGGACATCCGTGGCTCGTGTCGCGACATGCATCACTCCTCCACACATGCCTTGCATTTCGTCCAGGAGGCGAGCCAGCGCTGAAGTCATTGCATTTCCACTTTTGGCAAAGCTCTAGGCTTGTGGGACTTTCAACTGCAAAGCTTCCCTCCACATTGTTCCTTGCGCTTCCTTGGCAGTATTTTTTGATGTCGTGAGCACGACCTCAGGGGCCATCAAGAGATTCTCGATTTTTCTGTAAGGGAGTCGGGCCGGAGT